TGTCTATTTTGATCTCTAAATGAAAACCTGAGTAGGAGAAAATCATGCATGGAAATTGAATCAAGTTCTTGAGACTTCTTCTAGGTCCCCAAAGCTTTAATAACTCATTCTGCTTGAACTTAGTGGCTTAGCCTTGACTGCCTACTTTTGCGTTGTGCCAAAGCGAGTAATTCATTTGAACATCGTTTATTATTCCATAAATCTATACCTATAGGTAAAATATACTTATCTAAAGCACAACTGAAATTAACAGAATGAAGATAGCACTCTAGCTCTATGTGCATGTATGAATGTATAAATTCTGCTCTATTCCAATGAAAACATGAAGAAAGTAGGAGGTAAGCAATACTATTGCTTTTAAAACAAATTCATGATTCTGGTAACATCTGATCAATATCTCTGGGAGATCTATGCTGTTGGGTCAGCAGTCAGAAGTGATATGAAATGTTACAGAAATATTTCTACATAATCTGTTATGTTATTGTAACTGATATGGCTTTTTCTATTAGAAATGTGATATAACAATATCGAAGGTGATAACCTGGAAAGTGAAGAACATACAAAAAAAAAAAAAAAAAATCAGAATTTAGACTTCCCCAATCCTCAACCTTAGCAACAGCCCGGCTTTAATGTTACTTTTGTGTGTACTTCTTATTTAATCACATGTCAAACTGAAGACTGACATGTATTATACTTTAAAAAGCATACTTTCAGCTTTCATTTTGACATCTAGTTAGCATACAATAACTGCTTTTCAAAAGCAAAATAAAATGTTTGACAAGCTTTAAATGTTATTTTCAGCTTTATTATTTCGGTTGTTATGTTGAGAAGCAAAAAAAATAATAATAATAATAATAATTGTTAAATGTTACTGGAAAACATATTAGGTAAAAGGAGGATTAGATTCTGAAAATAAATACACATTGATGTTCTGTCAGAAGTTTGTGAAGTTCCAGGTTTGTAACATTTTCGTCATCAATTATTGGTTTTAATGAGTGTTGAATGGCCTATCTTCTGCAAGTGGAAGATGAGAGCATTGGTGTAACTCTGTTAAAGCATATGAACAAAATATAGCAGTTATGGAACAAAATGCAATAGTGTATAAAGATTTGAGCTGGAAGTTTCCTTTTGATGAGGAATTTTATTTAAGAACTATAAGAAGTTGTGGTCATAACTGAAGGCAGTTGTCAGATTACTTGAAGTTTTCCATTTTCTACTTTTCTAGCATTTAAAAGATCTAAGTAATAGAGAAAATGAATACTAATAGCAAAAATAGATTCTAATATGAAAACATTTTTTTGAGTACTTGTATATAACTGGCTGCATATTAGTGGAGAAAAACGTTGAAGTAATCCTTTTGTTTTCCTGCTACCCTAGAACATTTCCTAAAAAAAAAATTATATTTTAAATTAGAATTATCATCAAAATAATATAATTAATTCAACATAAACTAAACAGTATTTTTTCTTTATGATCTCCTTTTAAAAGGATATTAATTTGCTTCAATGAATGAAGATAATAAGGTTAATAGTTTAATGTTCTTCAGTTGATATCTGCTGCTTTTTCTATTACCTTTTTTCAGTTTTTGATTATAAATTGGCTAACCCCTGGTGTATAATTCCAGAAATCATCCCTTCAGAGTATCCAAAGCTATTTACTCATCTTTTATTCTTCCCTCTGCCACAGCCTAATTATTGTAGTGAAAGATTGAACGCATAATAGTTTTGGGGCTTTGATCAGTCTTCATATAAATTTCAATAATGAGAGTAAAAGGTTTGAGGTTTCCTGAGATAATTTGATCCCTCCAGACACAGGCTGCTTTTACTAAATGCATTTCATTTTGGGATGCCATATGAGACTTCTGACAGAACTTGTGACTGGGTTCATAACATCCCTGGAACCGGAATTTTTGTGCTCAGAACAATAAAGATAATTTAATACTGTTTAATGTACCATATAATTCTGGATACTTTTTCTTTTTTTTTTTTTTTTTTTTCTCCTCTTTTTAACTATTTGGTCAGATAGTATTACAAGTTTCTCAGCATTTTTAAAATGCAGCAAGAATACATAAAGGTTTTGCTTGCATTTGTCCCTTTTGGAAAAAAATAGAGAACTGTCATTCAAATAAATAAAATAAACCATAATCCTCATTATTCTATTGCTATTGGTGTTAACTCCCTTTAGAAATAAATAGAAAAGCAGCTGGAGGCTGAGGATATTTTATAATCTTATCAATTGAAATTTCAATGCCTCAAGGAGAAAATTTCCAAAATAAATGTGACAGAAGATAAGTCCCAGCTTTTGGCAAAGTTTTATTAGAATGACTTGTTCCAGATCATTGTCTGATGTCGGCATGAATTAAGAGTATAGCAACACTTAAGTAGAGAAACAAATGTTCTTTTCATCTTGATAAATTTTTCAGAAGCGCTCTGCCCTGTCTTCGTGTTGTCAGTGAGACAGAAGCAGGGACACTGTCAAATCGTACGTGGTGAGCTTTTAGCTCATTCTGGTTAATTTTGCATCATCTGCTTTTCATCTTTCTTACAACTGACATCTCAATTTATACAGCTAAATATTTACAGTTCTATAGGTTTTTGTGGTAATTCTAGAGACATTTGGATTTCTCATAGGTATGGTGAACAGCAGATTCGTCTAAGGCAAAAGCAACTGTATGATCAGTTTCACATGCAATGGAACTGATGTAATGCAATGGACTTGCATGTATGTAAGGGCAGGTGCAGTTTTGTGTGCAGGGCTAAAACCATATCATTGCAGGGATTTTTTTCCTGTATCAACTCCACAAAACTTTAGTTTTTTGCTGGTGTGAATAGGGCTCTGAGAGGCAGTTGCCAGTTAAGAAGTAGAATAGCATGTTATTCTTTTCTTATAAATTGTATGAGTTACAAACTTTCATAAGCTATATATTAATTAGTTATTTCCAAAGAGTTAAATATTATTATTCTGATGACACCAGTTTATTTTGAGTGGATTCTGATACTTCTATGGGCCCCTGTGGTCCCCCTGTGATCCCCCTATGGTGTGATCTTCCCACCCCTTTCCATCCTGTGCGATGAAGAATTGTTCTGTGCTCAAGTTTCCAGATTTCTTGGCTTGATCTGTTCCAGGTTCCCTCAGCTGCCAAATGAGGAAAAATCTAGCACTAGAAATTTGGTAAGTGTACAGAACTGCTTCAGAAAGCAGGACTGGAACATACAGTGTACATGATTGACAGAGAAATCATCTGAAAGAACACAATGCCAGAAAGAATGAATGCAAACTGCTGATCTACACTGCGTTAATCAGTGGTACGCACCAGAAAGGAGACAATTGGCAAAAGACCATTAGAGATGGAGCTGGACTCTAACCCGAGCCCTCACCCTTACTTCGGACAGAGTTACCAGTTGGCAAGGAAAATGTACTCTTAAAAGACAAAGGCAGTGGAACCTGGCGGAGATGTGAAATAATCCTTCATCTCTTCTATGCACTTTGAAAAGATGCACTGAATCTCTGTAGCAAGTTTTAAGTGGTACACAAGGAATCATGTGTGAGTATGTGTGTAAGGGAGGGCAGTAAGAAATATCAGAATACACAGGACAGACTGAAATAATATGATCTGAAATAGACTAATGTGCCAAATACCAGAAAGATGAGTAGGGATAAGCAGAGCATGATGAATGAGACAGAAGCAGTGATTTATTTTGTAACAGGAAAGAGTCAGATTTGACATTAGAAGAAAACCTATCTATTAGTAATGGTGAAGCACTCAAACCAGTTTTCTGGGAAAGCAATGAATTTCTTATTGGTAACTTCTAAGAACAGTTTTGACTCTCATCTGTCAGGAATTACATAAGTGAAGTTGATCTTGGCTGTGCTCTGCAGCAGCTGTCGTGTGGCTTACATAGTATTGCCACAATGCCAGACATTTTGAAGAAAAAGAGGAATTTTGTAGCAAAAAATTTGTATACTTCATTGCATTCAACTCTGTGACCTACAAGTGACCAAGTACCTCAGGGTAGTGTATACTTTTTTTAATCATAGCATGAAAAATACTATCTTCAGCAATTCTGGAATTGGACAGTTTTGCATTCCCTTTCAGATGGAATTTTGATTATTTGTCTTTGAAATAAAGTTTTTATTAAGAGCATTTCAGATTGCTGTTCAGTTATTTTTGTGGTTTTTCTTTTTTAATGTTAACATTGAGAGTTTTCAAGATACTCCTAGCGGATTTGGTTATTTTTTGCTTCTGCATTTTCTTTCAATACAGTGGTAGATTTGCATTTCAGTAAGAATGAAAATGATGTCCTGTGCCTGATGAGTTAAGTCTCTTACTCTCCTGGCCCTTCCTTCAAGTCATTATCTGTGCTCCTTCCTCTGTTTCCCAGCTTCCAGTCTTTTACTGTTGTGATGCAGATCTATGGTATGATGGAAATCAAAGGGGTTGTAATGAAATGTCTGAAGCACAGTAGTGGAATCTGCTTTCAATTCATTAATTTAATGGATGTGTAAAATCTATTAAAATTGTTTTCAATACATAAGACATGTTATTGTTTGTTCTTTCTCTAGCTTGGAAGAATACAACAACATTAGAAGTGTGTCACATTTCTTTCCCATTAAAAGCTGCTTCACGCTTTTGGGCCTAAAGAAAATGTTTTCTGAAAACTAGAAAACTGAGCGGTGAAATAAATTGAGCCTCAAAAACTGATTGAAATCTCCAAGTCAATATACAAAAGGCATCCAAAGACTTGTGAAGTCTGACAGAATCTCCTTAGTGTTTGGTGTCTTTCATTTTGCATCAGGGCTTACTTTTTAGAAAAGTAGGAAAAAAAATACAGTGCTGTCAGGTGAAGCAGGCTGCCTGTTCACAAAAGCCTGAAATTGTGCAGAGCTGTAGATAATGCGTCTTCAGCAGATAACTGAAATAATACATTTCCTAAATTGGTTGCATTAAGCAATTACTGATACTGTAGCGGAAACCATATAATTTTCTTCCTTCCTCGTAGCCTCAGCGCCGTGTCACATTTCACCTACCAGATGGCTCCCAGGAAAGCTGCAGTGACAGTGGACTTGGAGACCATGAGCCCAGCAGTGGTGCCAGCACATCGCACCCGCTGCCCCTCGGCTTCCCTCAGGAGGAGTACTATGAGCAAGCATCACCCAACAGCCGGACAGAAGGAGACGGAAACTCAGACCCTGAGTCCAGTAAGTGACAAACTCTGGTCATGTTGGTCATTAAATTGCTTGAATAGCAGAAGAGGGCTTCCTTTTTAGGCACTGATCAAAACTGAATGTTGATCTGAACATAGCCAGAAAGGCCTGTATTTCTAACAATGCAGAGTAAGTTTGCCCACTTGAAAAGAAACGGTTTTGAGCTGTAAAGAGTTTATAGATTGCCTGGTATTTCTGTAAATCTGAGATGCTGTACACATAGGCACTTTCTGAAGATGTTAACACTTGCCTTTGCCGTTGAAAACACTGTTGTGAGAGAGTTTATGCTGTCTTCTATGGTTTCATATCCAACATTTCTGCACACACTAGTTTGCTTCCAGAAGGAAGAACTTCTGGATGGCACTACAGTCTTTAGAAATAAGGGTTTTTTGATTTCTCTTTTGAGAGCGACTGTGGTATGTGGTAAATATCTCAAAGAACTCTGCCACATGACTTAATTCAGCTGTTATCACAGGCTTTTTGTGACATGGAAAACAGAAAAAATCAAGGTGTGCGAGAGACTAGTCAGAGACCAGCGTTGCTTTCTCCGACTTGACCTAATAGAAACTCTAGTGCACTTCGGGCAACTGCTAATTATCCAGGGGCTCTTTATCTAGATTAAATTGAACTATGCTGTTGATGAAAAGACACCTGTAAGTATGGATGCCTCTAAGGCCTTGTTAGAGACCTAGTAAGTGATTTGGAAATACATCTGTTCTGGGCAAAACTAGACCCAAAACGTGAATTACATCTGCTTTATTATATTTTGAAGGATGAATTAGTAAGTCCAGTGAGGTTGAAATAGCTCTGTGAAGTGTATCTCAGCAGTGGCAAACACAACATCCAACAGAGAGCATTACCTCTGACTCAGAGTTGCCTCTGACAAAGTCATCCTGGCTTTTGGAAATCATGCTGCTGTCCTTGTTGTGTGCTACTTGAGACCAGAATCTGAGGGATTTGTCTGCATGAACAATGACCTCTCTGTTTTACTTCTAGTTCAGTAACTATAAATTGCAGACCCTAATGTTAAGACTTTAAAAACTGCAAAATTATGATTCCTGAAGTAATGCCAGAATATTTTTTTTTTCTGAGTTGAGAGACAACTGACAAGAACGAGCAGAAGTTGTGAAGTTTATTTGCTTCTGTTTGTGCTCACATATTTGAGGATGTAATATACCCATAAGAATGTTCTAGTCAGTCAAGCTGTATTTTTCACAAAATGAAAGTCTAAGAGGCTACATATATATCCCAGAAGAAAGCAAGTTTCACATATGTGTTGTTTGATGTCTTTTCTATCCATGCACATGATCTAAACTTCCTTTCCAGCTCCTTCTTCCTTTTATTCTTTGTAACTCTTATTTCTGATATGTAGAACATACATAGAATCAGCATTTGGGTTATCTCATGCGTAGAGTGTGGTGCATGGGAATTGTTAGCAGAGGAATGTGGATCCTGTCTGGCTATATAAGAAGAGGCTTGGGTTTTGGATTTGCCAGTGTGTTGCAATTTCAGGAGAAATAGGGTTCACAACTCTTCTAAATCGTTGGCCTAAAACCAGTACATCTGAATCTCATTGACGCATCACTGTACAGGCACCTGGTATCTCTTCAAGTGTGAAAACTGAAGAAAGTTTAATCACCTGTCTAATTATCTGATAGCTTAGTTTCAGACTTGAAATCACAGTTTAATTAGCGTTTCTTTTTCATGAAGATTTTTTGCCTTTCTAACTTGCATCTTTTTGTATCAATTTAATTGCCACTATATAACATGATGCTTACAGTATGTGAAGTGTAGTTTTTAGTCCTTTTTTTTGTGTTTCTTGCTTATATTAATGGCAGCAACTAGTGGCAGAAAAACATGGATGTATAAATGGATATCTCTTATCTGCTTTCATAAATTTAACCAAGAGATAAAAGGAAGACCTGTGACATATTTATATTCTGTACACTACTGAAAATTGACATACTTTTACAAGGTAAGAGCATTAGCAATATTTTGTGTACCAGTCTGTGAAATTGTTCAGACTGAGGTTTCTTTCATTCATCAATGCGTGTGTGGCAAATTTAGTCAGTAGTGGAAAAAATGAAAATGATTCTGACCTGATGGAGAGCTAAGGAGAGAATGGTCAAAAGACAACCTGTTGCACCTTCTCTTGTGGTAGCCAAAGCATGTGTATACCTGTTTGGCAAACTGGATAGAAGAATTAGACTGAGTTCAACTTGATTTTGTGCAGAAAAAAATATTTTTTAAGCAGATCAGTTCTTCAGTCACATTTGCTACATGGGACCTTACATGTGGCCAGCAAACAAGGCTGAATGAAAATCTGGGACAGAGCTTATCCTGGCTTTAAATCATCAACAAAGTTCAAGAGAATCAGTCTTAATTCTTAACAGTGGTAATCTATGGTTATTTAGCCACATACAAATGAGGTCTGCAGCAGAAATGTATGTTGATTATTAAAGATGGCATAGTTTTTTTTTTCCTCCAAAATACAAGAAGCATTTTACCTTGCTTTAATTCTTGTAGAGGTTGATGAGGTGAGGTGATTTTTGTTGAGGTGAGCGGCTGATGAAGAATTATGATAACGGAACTAAAAGTTCAAAACAGATTCAGTGCCTTCATGTGGTGGAGAGATTATCTTTCTACCAGGGTGTCAAAACTGATAGTGTTGTACTGATTTTTCTGGAATTCCAAGAGACAATGCTTCAAGAAAAATCTGTGCTCCTGAGCAAGTGGTGACATGATATGGCTTCTCCATTGGAACATGTTTGCAAGAAAGAAATCAAGCTATGCATAAACAGAACAGACTAAATGGTATCATAAATCTGCCAGTATGGTACTAGATTAGCTCTGTTATCTAATTTCACTTACCCTTTCCATATTGGAACAAATGTAGATTTAATCTATATAGATTTGAGACCTAATAACTATTATTATGACATTAAGGTAGAGCATTAGTAATTAAGGGAAAGACATATTAATGCAAGATTTGAAAAATGTTCATTCCTTGTTAATGAAATTGTCATTAAAAATGGGAACATATCAATGAAATATTCTACTATTTCAAAGCCAAGCATCACTAAAAATTTGGAGAAGGAGGTATATATGATATAAGAACGGGCTTTTGCTAAGGATTTGGAGTAATAGCAGTGGGATGAAGACTAGTAGTTGAAAGTCTTTCTCATAGGAACTGGTGTATGTAACTAGTATATAAATTTCCAGCTGAAAATGATAAAGAGAAAAACAACAGGGTATGACAAAGATAAACTATAAATCACCAGTACCAAATGCACTGTGAAAAAAAAATCCCAGTTTATTCCTAATACAACAAAAAGTGAAAAACAAAAAATAAAACCAACCAAGGCAATGATGATACCACAACTGGAGTATAATAAACAGAATTCCTTTCCAAGTTGAATAAAGGAGAACTCACTTGAGAAACAGGTATAAAGAATGATTTACTAGTAACAAGGGAATGGAACATCTAGACACAGAAAAAGAAATTAATATTAGTTTGTTTAAATAGCAGAGTAAAATGTGGCTGAGAACCTGGACTGTTCTCGAATAATAGAGAATGGGGAAAGAGAGATTGTGGTGGCAGAGTAAAGTACCTGTTTGCTCTATGGACAAATGGCGCTGTCAGTAAGCCAGGATAGGTCAGACATTTTGAGATTTCATATTTGAGAACAGTAAGTAGAAAAACAGAGAAAGAGAACACTAAGTGGATTCAAACAGGAGCTTGATAAATTTATGAGAGGAGCAAACAGAATGCCCTGTGTAACTGCAGCAAATGTATCCTGTTATCCAGGAGGTTCTCTTTTCTTTGTTCACAGTATAGAAGTTGTCAACAAATGTTGGCCAACTCAGTTCAGCTCTACTCTGCTTCCAGCTCCTGGCTGCAAATTGCAGTGTGCTGCTGGTGACCACACAGGCTGTTTGAGCCAAGCTGGTGGCCCTGTGGGAAGTTAGCCTTCATAATGATGTGCATGATCCAGTAAATCTCCCTGATGTTGTTATGAAGATGGGGCCAGCGCTGCTGCTGGCAGACAGCTGATGATAGGAAGCTTTCTATCCCTGGTGAAAATGGCAGCGTTTTTGGCTATACTGACTTGTCTGATAATCAGAAACACTGAAGTTGCTGAAATATGCTCTTTGAGCATCATGAGTAACTTTGCTCTGGCAGCTGGACTTGGGATCTTGTCCTGAGACACAAGAAAAAAAATAAAATTTCAGCATTTTAAGCATTTTGTTCCCTGCTTAAAAACTGACATAATTTTATGTTAGTTTGGGGGGTTTTTTTTGTTGCTTTCATGTGCTTTTCATATCACAGTAAGGATGAAATCCAAGAGTATTTTAATTCCATCACTGCTAAATTGTAAACTCACTGTAGCACTTAACTGTAATTTGAGAAAAATAGTAAGACACTGTCATTAGTTAAGGATAATAAATTCTGGGCTAAAATAGATCCCAGTGTAGTAAATCTGCCCACTGGGTGCCTCTACTTATGCTATATTGGGTTTTCCTATCCCTGTGGCTGTGTACTAATAATTAATTCTGAAAGTGCTGAGGTAATTAATCATTCTGAGGCAACAGAGTTTGATCCTCTACCTTTAATCAAATTAGCTTGTATGTAGATGGGAGTATGTAGTGGCTGACTAATTCTCTGCACCATTCTTTTGAAATGCCTACCTTTCTGATGAACCTCCTGAGAGCACCACCATGAATCAGGTGCATGTCAGCCAATAGGGTAGTCATCTGGTGAGCATTTGATTTAAAAGATGGGAAATGAGCAGAGATCAAAATCAGGATGTACTCAGCATTTACATTTTAAAGTGAAGTGCACCTTCATATAATTTTGGCATATCTTTGAAGGTACTAAATGTCTGAGGCTGACAACTGTGTATATTTTCCAGATGTTTTGGCAGTTTGTTCATAAAATCTCTATCTAATCATAATCACATATAATGAAGTAAGCCAACACCTGATCACATGTG